TATCATCATAATTCCTGTTGTTCTGCCAATATCCAAAGAGTTCCAGGATAATAGGACCCATTTGTGTAACCTCTTAAATACAGTTGGTGACATTGCTGCAGTGAGTCACTTTTTGGCCATTATTGATGAGGTATAATGAGTTTGTTATAAATTTTCTAAAAGTAATATTTAAATTTTTCTTTCAATAAAAATTTAAATTTATAATTCATAAACAGTATTAAAAAAAGTAAAAACTCAAAAAAACTCCACCAAACAGGTTCTTAATCTATGCCCTCTTGCCCTGCTTCTTTAGAAAACCTCCAAAATTCTCATAATTTTTATAGAATATAAAATTAGCTTAAAATATTCAACTAAATTCATAATTTATTTTTTTATAAGATTAAAGATTAAAATTTTAATCCAACCTCAAGATTAGATGAGAATGAAATCTAATATAGTATAATTGAATAATTTTTTCTTTTTAGTAGAGTACATTCTTATCTAAACAAAGAACTCTTAAAAATATTTAAATATATTTTTAAATAATAGTAGTATTAGTGTATTACTGTAGAAATGCTTTTTTTTTTCCTTTTTTTTTTCTTTTTTGATCCTGAGTAGTAATGCAGTTTTAAGTAATCCTTATATCACCTGAAGTCCGTGTCCGACTTTGCCTTGAATTTGTATGACCCGACTGATCAAAACTACTTATAAATTTAAAATAATAATAAATAAAATTTAAATTTAAAATAAATAATATAATATAAATTATTTCATTTAAAATATTAAAAAATAAATAACATATTATTTAATAATTAATTTTTTATTTTTTAAAATATATAATATTATATATATAAATTAATCTAATAATATAACTTACTCCATATCATCATTAGTTGTAAATTTCCATTAGAATTTTACGTGCTTCCTCTCATTGCTTATAAATATGGGCAATCCCTTCCCATCGTTCAAAGTTCAAACCCCACAGAGTTACCCAACCCAAAACCCTCCTCCTATTTTTTTCTTTGAGCGTCCCCTTTTCTTACGATTTCTCTCGACGATGTCGTTGGATATGGCAGATAACTACCTTCACGTACAAGAAATAGATTTCGAGGACCCTGATGACGAGTACTACCCCGGTATCTTCTACTCCATTGATGTCCAAGCCAGGTTCACGTTTTTTCCCGACGATGACGACGATAATGTAATGGCGGCGATGGAGAGGTTGAAAACAGATATCTACGAGATCGAAGCCGAGGATTTGACTAAAACTTTCTTACAGAACATGTTTCAGTCCATGGACGTGCCCGTAGACGAACGCATGATCGAGAAGGTTTTGGCGTGCGCTAACAGGATGGCTCAGAGTGACCGCTACGGCCACCGCCAGGTGCGGCGGATGCAAGTGAAGGTTGAAATGTTTGTGAAGGATCCGCGGTCGACTGTGAGAGGTGTGGAGATGGGGTAAAACTGTTGAGTGGTTAGAGATGCTAGGGTATGGTTTTTCAATTTCTTTTCTTAATTGGAATTTAGTGTCATAATCATTGAAAGTTTTCTTAATTTGAAGCCTTTTTTTAGATGCAAAAGTTTGGTTCTTTATCCGTAATTCAGAAATTTGAATTGTCTCAAATAAGTGAATTATATCGTTCTTGATATGGAATTTGGTGGTAATGTTAGTGATTTATTATTATTATTATTTTTTTTTTCAATAATGTTAGTGCTGTTTGATTTAGCTATTATAATTCAAGTTAATTGTAGTCTCTATTAAACAATTTTTTTCATGCTGTTTAGAAAATAATGATAAACAAATTAAAACATAATTATTGTATTCAATCACAAATAATAACTGAAACAGAACTAGACTAAAATTGTACTTGGATTTCTTAATGTGACTCCCCGAATCTCTTTCCTCTCTCTATTGTTTTATTTCATTATATGTCTTATTATGTTTTATTTGAATTGTATATCAATCTAATTCTAAAAAAAATTAGAATTTTAATTTTAAATTATTTTATTTTATTTATATATAACATTAATAATATAAATTTTTATTTTAAATTATATTTTTATTTCTAAATGTAAAAGTTAATATTTAATAAGGTGGATTTTTTAATTTTGATTTTGATTTTAATTAAATGAAATGATATCATTTAATATTGAGACTTTAAAATTTTTTTAGAATCAAGACTACTATGCACTATCTTATATTTTGCATATGAAGATTGTGTGTATCAATCATGAGATTTTTAAAGATAAAAAAAAAAAATCTCAACTTATATTTTAAAATTAAAATCTTAATTCAAAATTTAAAAAGCTATTATATTAAATGTTGATACTTAAATTTAAAAACTAATTATATATTCTAATATAATTAGTTTTCAAATTTAAATATCAATTTATAATAAGATA